TGCTCCAACTTCTTTAACCCATCTGAAAAATACGTTTTCTTGAAGTCTGTAAAGTAAGCCTCTGTGGCGGCGATGACCTCCTCATTCGACTCAAATTTCTCGAAATTTGGTCGAATTGGACTACGAACTGCTGCTCTATTCACCGTATTCTCAAGATTTGACCCCGTGCGACTTTTTTTTGTTTCCAAACTTGAAAAAGTCACTCGCCGGGCAGAAATTTGAGTCGAATGAGGAGGTCATCGCCGCCACTTAGGCCTACTTTGCAGACTTCGAGAAAACGTATTTTTCAGATGAGTTAAAGAAGTTGGAGCGTCGCTGGGTCAAGTGTATCGAGCTAAAAGGAGACTATGTTGAAAAATAAATCGCCACTTTTTCAAAATTTTCGTTTTTCTTTTGTAGGTTAAGTACTTATCGGATTGCCCTCGTATGTAATGTGTAATGTAAAGCGTGATATGAACACACGTCACGAAAAAAATATATGAATAAGGTGAGAATAAAGTAAAAATATAATAAATATACACGGTATTTTATATATTTATTGCTATTTGTTGAAGGTCAATGAGACCAGTTCGCTATCGATTCTGTCATTTTAATCGAAGGAATCACAATTGTTTTGGCAATATTCGCAGTAACCGGTGTGGCGCTCGCGATGTCGAGAAATCGTTGTAAATTCGCATCCACATTATCGGTGATCAAGCATAGCGAGTTGGTGATACGGTTGATACAATGTTCGAGTTTGTACATATTGATTACGGTGGTTTGCGACATAGTCAGACGAGTTGCGTACGTTTCCAGTGTCAGTATTGGCAGATTGTTAATCTTTTCGAAACAGTGTTAGATTCCCTATGTGAATATCGGACGGGAAATCCGCTCCTGTATTATCCGCTGCGTCGCAAATGTGACCTCACATTTGAACTTTGTTCGAAGATGTTTCTCCACACGGTCGCTGAAAGTGGGATTTCTTTGCTATAAATGTCACCCACAACGATGCTCATATCGGACGGAAGTGTCACTGTGATACCTATATCGATGAATTTGTAACCCGTTTTGGTCAATAGATATTTCTTCATTGAGATTCAAACCAGAATGTTGGTGATAATGTCAGTAGGTGTACAAGGCGGGTACTGGGACGGGAGCTCCGTAGGAAGTGCGGGGCGGGGAGATACCGCAGGGTGCGTGGGCTGACGTTATATGGTGGGGATAGATGCGGGGGACTGACGTCACGCGGGGCGGGGGGGGGGCGGTGTACCACAAGTCTATGGGGCTAATATCATGCGGGGAGCAGGGGGAATTTGTAGACGCGGGGGCTGATGTTATGCGGGATAAGGGGGAATTGGTAGGCACGGGGGCTGACGTCACGGAGGGGCTGACGTCACGCGCGCGGGGACCGCTTTATGTGCCATGTTACCGACAGTATGTCTGTATTATTGTAATATTATCGTTACCCCCTCCAGTGGTCGATATTCTTCTAGCGATCGATATTCTTCCATCGGTCGGTAAACGCGTCCCACCTGCGACCCACGTTCAATCCGCTCCCTCACCCATAACCCTTTCCGCGTTCGCCCGCAGCGTTCACCACCACCCATTCGCGTCCGCCTGCCCGATTCGTGGCCATCCGCCCCACCGCTCTTGCGCAAATAAATGAATTCCCGCACGGTAAAAGGGCTGCCAAATAAAAAAAAAAACAGTTGACAAACGATAAAGAATGGAAATTACATGTTTCGAATGTTGTTTAATGTTTTTAATTTAATTTTAAATTTAATTTTTACTTTTCAATTTTTTTAACGTTTTAAATTTTAATTAACGTTTAATTTTTTTATGTATGTTTATACTACAGTTTGCAAAACGTTTTACGTTTATATAATTCTGCGTATAACGTCTTTTCAATATGAGATAAGAATATGAAAAAATGACCTGAAAGAAAAAGGGATAAAAAAGCTCGAAACTTAGATCTTTCGTTTTACCTGCTGTCCCTGCTATATATGGTTTTGTGACACCATTTTGTCTATTAAGATAGATATGTTATGATTTTCGATGCGTTACATATGTTATATATGGTAGGTAAAGGAAATAAAAATTTTATATTGAATACGTTACGTTTTATTAGAATAACCCAATGATATTATTACAATTATATATGTTGTCGTTTCAACCACCAGTTGAAAATTTTATATATATTTTGTAACGAGCAGTATTTTAGATGTTTTTCACAGCAATATGTATTACTTGAATCTATTTCTTTTAAAAATGGAATATCTTTGTATTCTGCGTCCAATGTTTCGATGATTAAATTTCTCTGTATGTCATCGCTGAGAATATCCTACAACCACCGCTGTTTTTCAAGTCCTTTGACGTATATCTATAGAGGTTTCTCGTCGTCATCTTCGTCTATCATATCAAGTAGGGCTGTCTTAAACAGACGCGTGGTCTCACTGTACAGTACATATTCATCCGACCATAATAATCCATGATGATTAGCGGTCATGAAACTTGAGACTTCGAAATTTGTGAGATGATTCCGAGATAAAGGTGGTCGAAAGACATAATGAGAGAAAATAGTTGCTTTTCTCAATATCGCTACTTCTTTCACGATAAATGCTTTTCTGACGATGAATCCTTGCAAGTCTACAAACGTTGGCGCAACCATGGTGAAGTATTCTTTTGTTTGAACAGTTCCGAACTGTTTAAATATGTACAATTCCCCTCCTATTGCGTTTTTCTTGACACAATGTGGTATTATGTTTTCACTTTTATGTTTTAGTTAATTTTGCGCAATGTGTTGTTTAGTGGATTGTATTCAAGTACACGATTATGCAAGACGAAACAATACACTGTAGTATTCGCTGGTATGTTCTCTTTACATTCAAATTCTATCTGCACATCCGCAGTGACGCTTTTGATGGATTCATTTTAACGCGAACAATCGATAACCACGAAAGGACCTCGCTGCAAAAAGTCGGCAGATAAGGTGTTAATCATATCTCATCACTGTTGCATCCATAGTACGATTTACGAAAACATCTATACATATAAAGTATTGTATATCTAGTTTTTGCAAAGTCTCAATTCATATCATCGTATGGATAACATTTTGAGTTCAGATAGAGTCTTGCGTTGATCAAATTGCATTTGTCGAATTAAATTATATTTTCCGACATGACATTTTTCCGACCAGCCTGCAACTCAAAAATAACATATCGTGGTTTTTCCAAATTAGTAACAGTAGTGAAAGCCGACAGGTGTTTGGTCGTGCTTTGTAGCATAGGAAATTCATACAAGTCCCACAAACGGAAACTCATACTCAAGTATCGTCCGTTCTTCAAAGTTCTCAGTAGGGAAAGTTTACTGATATCATTCAAGATTATGCGAGACATTCGCCATTGTATTTTGAATAGCTCAAACTTAAGCTCCAACGGTAAAGATCTTAGTAGACAGTTGTTATGTCATATTGCGTCATCGAATTAGAATCACTTCGTGGCGTGCGTTAATCACTATACACTTATAGTTTTCACAGAATCCTAGCAACATATCGAGCAGTACGCAAAAGTTAAAATATCTCTCTAGCGAAATAGCGTTAATCGTATCCCGTATTGTCGCCGTCGTACATGCGGCATTTTTCATGATAACACCTTTGTCCGAAGATAGTAATACATAGTTTTTGAGCGTTGAAGTTATTCCAACGTTTCCGTTAGGATCAATTTCTGTATCTTCGAGTTCATTACGAATCTCATCAAACATGAATACAGCGCAATTATTTCCCAAAGTTACAGACTCATTATCAGCTCTCCTTTATATAAATAATTTTCCCTTGACATAATGATAAGTCTTAATAGGTAATGTGTATAAATCCTTCTATGTATGGGTATTCGTATTTCATCGCTATATCCAAACGTTGTTTTGGCGTATGGATTGTACGTATGAGTCTCAATCTTCTCAATCTTGACAATCCGATCGTCAAGGACCAGTTCATTTTAAATGTTCAAAATGTCAATCATTTTGCTCAATTGTTTCGCACTAAGAACGCCAGAGATTTCAAAAATTCAACGTTCTATGATTTTTTCGTGCGGAGGATTTTGTTGTTAATCATGTGTTTTGTAAAAAAAATTTATTTTTTGCTTACTTCTTCTGTTCCACTTGATTCACCACAAGCATTTCATAAATTACACCTATTATTGTCGCCGTCGTACATGCAACCTGATGGTAATCTCTTTTCCTCGAAAATCCAGCAATTGTCCTTCTTGATCCACGACACGCATTGTTAAATCTGTAATGCTTCGTGTGATGATTGGAAAGTAAATGACATGCGCCGGTGTTTCCGATATCTTATATCCTGGTACTATAGGCGAAAATTCATGTATTGTATATACGCGCGTACTGTTGCTGTACGAACCACTGACAATACTGCATTCTTCTTCTTCACGTACCATGTTCTTTCAGAACGTTGGTGACCATCATGACTATTCGCACCTTATCGACCGCCACACGAAAAAGTATACCCGTGCTAACGCCGTACCAATTACGCAGATTTTTCAACCATGATATTTTTCTGATGCCTAGGCCTCTCTTTCCCGCTATCTTCTCCTGTATGATGTTCTGTATTAAACGATGTTTATTCCCTCTTATTATGTGTCCCAAATATTCCAATTTCCTCTTTTTAATTGTGTCCAGAGTTTCGGTGTTTTTCCTTAAGCGTTCCAAGATATCAGAGTTGCGAATTCTCTCGACCCATTATACTCTTAGAATTCTTCTATAGTACCACATTTCGAATGACTCCATCCGCTTCATTTTGATTTTATTCAAAGTCCATGCCTCCACTACGTAAAGCAAAACGGAAAACACATAGCAGCACGGCAAGCAAATTCTCAAGGGGAGCGCAAGTTCTCTGTTGCACAGTACTCTGCTCATTTTATTAAAGGAGGCTCGAGTCTGCTCTATTCTCGACCTGATTTCATTTTTGTGGTCTCCTTTGCTATATCCCACAATACATCCCAAGTATCGATACCGTTCTATTTGATTCAGCCTGTTGCCTCCAACAAAAATATTTATTCTTATATTCCGTTTTTTATTTAAAATCATTATCTTCATCTTTACAACGTTTATGTCTAACCCAGCTGATGTACACTTTTCTATCACATTATTAAGAATACTCTATAAACTCTTAGCAATATCTACGACCAATAAAGTATCTTCCGCGTAACGCAGGTTGTTATTGATTTCTCCGTTTACCACTATGCCTTCCTGCATCTCAGAGAGAGCTTCTCCAAATATACGCTCAGAATAGACATTAAATAATAGCGGCGATAAAATGCACCCTTGCCTAACTCCGCGTTTAACACGTTGAGTGCGACGTCAGTCCCTCGGGACTGACAGTGAACTTTTCGTTCAGGCGGCGTCACTCCCTGGGGACTGACAGTGGACTTTATGTTTAGGCGACATTGGTGCGTGAAACCGGCATTGTCAAGGGTTAAAAAATTAATGTTATAATTTTAATGGAGTTTATTAAAACATTTTAAACAAAGATGTGGATGAGATTTGCACATATTATAATAAGATTGATAGTCTCTTGGAGGACCTTTCTTGCCGTTTCCCTTCCCATTATCTTCTGTTTATAATTTGTATACTTATGCATTGGCTGCACCATCCCACAGTAAAGTGAAACAAAGTAATCTTCTGTTCATACTCTCTATCCTAAAAACCTCTTGAGCGCTCGGCATCAAGTGCTCGCTCGCTGCCGCCTGAGCGGACAGGATAGTAAAATCGGCGCCGCGCTCAACGTGTTAATCTTTATGGGTGACGAATATGTGTGATCTACTCTGATCACAGCGGTTTGATTCCAGTAAAAATTTTTTGTAATGCGAATATCTTTTGCATCTAGCCCAATTTCTCCAAGTATCTTCATTAGTTTATCATGTTTGATACGATCAAAGATTTTTTGAAAGTCTGTAAAGCAAGCGTATATGTCCACGGATATATCGCGACATCTCTGAATAAGAACATTGATGCCAAACAGAGCTTCTCTAGTACCGAAGCCATTTCGGAATCCAAACTGCGTCTTGCTCAAATACTCTTCACACTTCTTGTTTATCCTAGTATGAACCACCTTTAAAACGATCTTAAGTAACTGATTCATCAGACTGATTGTTTTATATTCGCCACAATATTTTACACTGTTTTTCTTTGGTATCGTAACAAACCGAGTTCAGCCAGTCGCTTGGCATCTGACCACTGTCATACATACTATTGAAAAATTCTGTCATTGCCTGTAGTGCCCTCTCTGTAGTTATTAATTTGTATATTTCAGCTGATATTTCGTCCGGTCCCGGTCTTGCCATTCTTTGCTTGTTTAACTGCATATTTTATTTTTTTACATTTTATAAAGGGGGCCTTCTAATAATGTTATTTCTAAAAACGAGTCTGCCCTGCAGTCATCGAATAAAGTGGCAACATATTTTTCCAATTCCTTTATTCTCTCCACCAATTTCACTAATGCTTTTCCTTCTCCGTCATACAGCAGTCCTGACCTTCCCTCCCTAAATATTCCCGCCGCTTCCTTTACCTTTTTATGCATGCCAAAAGAGTCATATCTTGCTTCTATCTCCTCAATTTCTTCGCATTATTCTTTCAAGTGTTGTGCTTTGGCTTGTCAAATTTCCCTCCTTATAGATTTCTGCAATTCCTCGGTTTTTGTAGTTTTTTGCAAACCGGCGTTCTATCATCAAACTTATTATCTCGTCAGTCATTCAAGGCTTTCTTAACTCAAAATTCCCTCTTCAAATTGTCGTGACTGATCTCCAATAACATACTATTTATCTCTCTCCAGATATTCTCCACCTCCAATGCATTTCCGCCCTTCCAGACTTTCATTAACTTTCCTTTGAGTTATTTACATCTTAGAGTTGTTATTCAGCAACGATCTATTGATTTTATTACGATCCACTCTCTTTGCGAGTTTCTTTAACTTCACATTTAAAATTGCCACGACAGGGTTATGATCCGAACCTATATCAGGCCCTGGATAGGTTTTGACTTACTTAATATTGTTCTGTGACGATGCTTAAATCGGTTATTAAAGAATAAAATTGATTTGATTTCTTATATTTCTATCTTCTATTTCTGTTGGACTTCCAAGTATACAAGTTTCTTTTGGGTAACTTAAAGAATGTGTATGTTGTTACGTACCCGTTTTCTTGGCAAAATTGAACAAGTCGATCTTCTCTCTCGTTCCTATTCCCTAGTCCATGATCTCCTACAATAGTTTAGTATCGACTTTTTACCACCTTTGCATTAAAATCCCATAGCACAATTTTTCAACCTTTTAACGCTCCTTAATGCCTTATCTATATCTTTATAAACTTTTTCCAAGATCTCTTCACTCGTCGTCGATGTTGATGCATAGATCTACAGTTTAAAATGGTTAATACAATGTGTTGTGAATAAAATTTCTTTTTTTTTGTAAATAACGTAATTTGTGTGCATAATTTGATTATCGTTCAAGATACGAAATATATATATTGTGGATTGAATGAATAAAAGTTTTTTTTGGTAAATAACGTAATAATTTGTGTGCATAATTTGACTATCGGTCAAGATACGAGATATATACATCATGGATTGAATAAAATGGAATAAATAAAAATTCTTTTTGGTAAATAACGTAATAATTTGTGTGCATAATTTGATTATCGTTGAAGGTAC